ACTTTGGCAGCCTAGCTACATACAAGCCCCCAAAATCCAATGACCACCTCTAGGCTTTCAAAGGGCATATTTCCTCATATCACTTCCACACTACCTATCACAGTTTTGGAGGCTCTAAAATGCCAAGATAGTACAAACACCCCCCCTCCCAAATGACCCCTTTTGGAAAGCAGACAATCAAAGGAATTTGATAAGTGGCATTGTGAGTATTTTACAGAAATCATTTTTGTCACAGGGTTTTGAAAATGAAAAAATAAATTTTTTTTTTGCTTTCTTTCTTTGTTTTCAAAAAACATGTGGCAACAAATGAGATCTGCAAAACACTCACCATGCCTCTTAGCAAATACCTTGGAGTGTCTATTTTCCAAAAAGGGATCATTTGGAGGGGTTGCCTCTACTATCCTGGCATTTCAGGGCCAACATTAGAAAATCCAGTGACGTACCAGTACATTGCTAGTCAATGTTGGGCATATATGTAACAGCAGAGAACACAGGCATACGATGAATTGGCTCTGTGGATCAATATGACTGCAATTCATTTTTGTTTGTAATGCCCATGTTGAGGGTTAGGCCCAAAAGAGTTTTAAATTCAGAAACCATGATAGGTTTCCATGCAAACTGTCTGAAAAGAGCTGAATTTGGGTGGGGCGGCCATGTATTGTTGTGAGTATAAATTACTTTGGCCCACAATTAAATTGGTACAAATCTTCCGTGAAAAACAGCAGAGGGACTAAACGCTAATGCTGGCAGTGAACGGGGCCAATCCTGCTAACTCTGCATTTTTTTGGACACTATACAAAGGAAGCACTAGTATAGCTCTGTACGTGATCAATATCTTGATCCGTACAAACACTATACTACTAAGGGGGGTGATCAGCAACCTATCGTGTGAGTGCAATTTAACGCTAGTTGACCCTGGTTGGGTGGGGCGCTAACTAACCCTGACGTTATCTGATGTCGCTAGTGGCAGGAATACAGTGATCAGTGAAAAGTTCTATATACTGACACTGTACTAATGGCATTGGTTGGGTGACGGGGTGATCAAAGGGTTAAATGTGCCAATCTAACTTGTGTGTAAAATGTAGTGCTTTTACTCGGTGCAGTGTTTTCACTTCTCTCCCTGGACCAACAGGTGTGGGGGGGGGGGGGGCAGCTGGGGGCACAGGTGCATTCACACCCCAATGTAGGAAGTGACGCAACATTACATCACTTTGCTAAGAGCTGCTGCTCACACGCAAAATGCAGGTAAATGGTTGGCAAGTAGTTGAAAAAAAAATTCTCAATATGCTTTTCTTTTTAACATTTTTTAAAATACTTTTAGCAGAAAAGTACAATGCTACCATGGGGGGGGGGGGGGGGGATCAGGGATTTTGTTTTCTACACTTTGCTTTGCAGGAGAGATAAAGATAATTTCTTCTGCAAAGCACAGCGCATGCTGTCATGAATGAGTTAAATTTTGACAGCTCAGGATAGTGATCTGTGATTAGCTGGAGCTGGTCACATGGTACAGGGTGTTGTGATTGACCCCATGTATCATGTGACAGCTGTGGGCCAATCACAGCACACTAGGAAGAGAAGCAGAGCTGTTATGAATCAATGAGATTGATTCATAACAGCTTTTCTTACATTGCGATCATGTGATTGCATAGAGATCACATGATCACCGGGTCCCATTCACTGGGATCTTCATTCCGCTGTGTCCACTGGAAATAGCAGTCGCGAGGGGTGTGTTAGTACAGCCAGAGCAACATACGGGTACGTCAGTTTGCCTGTAGCTGCCGCTCTGTCGCAGTACATTGCGGATAGGCGGGAAGTGGTTTTAGGCAAATAAACAATGCATGTATAACTGTCAAGGCTCCTGGGTATGACCAGAGTGTGTGACTGACGCAGGGAAACGCAGACTTCAGATATGTTATAAACAATGTAATTTATTAACACTAACAATACAAACATAAACGCAGTGCAATACTAAAACATAACACAGTGCAAACGAACCAAACCAAACCACCCACAGATAACAGTACATACAATGGAAGCGTCGTCAGGCAGGCCGGGTCAATATCAATCGGGCAGGTAGGTACAGGGAGAGCAAGCGGAGAATGGTCGGGGTCACAAGCCAGGTTCAGCAGGTAGCGGGCAGAGTGGTACAGAGGGTCAGGCAGAGGGATGGTCAGGAACGAGCCAGGGTCAGAGCAGGAGAAGTCAGCAGAGGTCAGATCAGGCAGGGTCAGCGACAAGACAGGAACAGGAACAGGATGCAGGAACAGGATACAGGGCCCAGGAAAAAAACACACACCAAGGCAGAGTCTGCAGGTCTGGCCATCCCTTAAATACACCAGTGTAAGCAGTTTCAGGTGTTTAGCTGGCTGCAAGGTTGAGTCTCTGATTGCTGGGAGCACCCGCTGGCCAGCCCCGGTACTGCAGCCCATAAGGCAGGCGAGTCCCACCATTGCTGGCCAGTCCATTCCTGACAGTACCCCCTGAAAGGAATTGGCTCTTCTCGTTCCTTCCTGTAGCCACTGACCCCCGTCAGCCCCCTGGCCCTGATCAGTGTCTGTCCTCAGGCCTGGAGTCCCCTTTGAGATATAGGAAATGCACACAGACACAAAGTGGTATCTCAGAAGGAACTGAATTTATTCTTCCGTGTTTAAACTTATATATGAAACTTAAAACAATGCATAGAAATATAAGAACCAATCAATTGACAGGTATGCATTTAACCAATTAGAATATTACATACGTCAGTCATGCCCAATCATTTGGAATATATGTTAATTATTATTATATACGTCAAGCTTTGAACTTTTGAACAGCACAGAAAGCAGACAGTTCCTCTTTACCGTTGGCTTATAATTATTAATACTCTCTCAACAGGATGTAGCCCACCACAGACTTTCAGTCTTGGGCTAGCTAAGGAAAAAAGGGGAAGTTGCACCTGGACAAAAAGAGGAACTTTTAACTCCTGACAAATTACCGTTTAAGACAAGAAAGTAAATTCTTTTAAAGTACTGACTTAAGTCTTAAGATGGATTACTGATTCTAAAATGGAAGAACTTTGGCTCAGAGAGAGACAAGATGGTGGGACATCAAACTTAGGGGCTAATCGCTTCACCCCCCCTCAAGGAGCGGCCTCAGGACGCTCCAAACAGTCCTAGCTGGGCAAAATGTTCCACCGCCCGGGTCTGGTAACTGGCGGGATATCAAAGACTGGCACACCGGGCAGGACTCCGGGCAGCGGCACACCGGGCAGGACTCCGGGCAGCGGCACACTGGGCAGAGGCACATCGGGCAGAACTCCGGGCAGAGGCACATCGGGCAGCGGCACACCGGGCAGCGGCACATCGGGCTGGACTCCGGGCAGCGGCACATCGGGCTGGACTCCGGGCAGCGGCACATCGGGCTGGACTCCGGGCAGCGGCACATCGGGCTGGACTCCGGGCAGCGGCACATCGGGCTGGACTCCGGGCAGCGGCACATCGAGCTGGACTCCGGGCAGCGGCACATCGGGCTGGACTCCGGGCAGAGGCACATCGAGCAGGACTCCGGGCAGAGGCACATCGGGCAGGACTCCGGGCAGAGGCACATCGGGCAGGACTCCGGGCAGAGGCACATCGGGCAGGACTCCGGGCAGAGGCACATCGGGCAGGACTCCGGGCAGAGGCACATCGGGCTGGACTCCGGGCAGAGGCACATCGGGCTGGACTCCGGGCAGAGGCACATCGGATCACCAGGCGAAGCAGCAGGCACCGGGCCACCAGGGGGAGCGGCAGGCCCCGGGCCCCCAGGCGGAGCAACAGGCACCGGGCCCCCAGGCGGAGCGGCAGGCACCGGGCCCCCAGGCGGGGCGGCAGGCACCGGGCCCCCAGGCGGGGGCGCAGGCACCGGGCCCCCAGGCGGAGCAGGCAGGCACCGGGCCCCCAGGCGGGGCGGCAGGCACCGGGCCCCCAGGCGGAGCGGCAGGCACCGGGCCCCCAGGCGGGGCGGCAGGCACCGGGCCCCCAGGCGGAGCGGCAGGCACCGGGCCCCCCAGGCGGAGCGGCAGGCATCGGGCCCCCCAGGCGGGGCGGGCGACAGGCATCGGGCCCCCAGGCGGGGGCGACAGGCATCGGGCCCCCAGGCGGGGCGACAGGCCGGGCCCCTAGGGGGCGACAGGCATCGGGCCCCCAGGCGGGGCGACAGGCATCGGGCCCCCAGGCGGAGCGGCGGGCGCCGGCCCCCAGGCGGGGCGAAAGGCATCGGGCCCCCAGGCGGGGCGACAGGCATCGGCCCCCAGGTGGGGCGACAGGCATCGGGTCCCCAGGCAGGGCGACAGGCATCAGGCCCCCAGGCGGAGCGGCGGGCGCCGGGCCCCCAGACGGGGCGACAGGCATCGGGCCCCCCCCAGACGGGGCGGCGGGCCCCCAGGTGGGCCGGGCCCCCAGGCGGGGCGACAGGCACGGGCCCCCAGGGGGGCGACAGGCATCGGGCCCCCAGGCGGGGCGACAGGCATCGGGCCCCCAGGCGGAGCGACAGGTCTCGGGCCCCCAGGCAGGAGCGGCGGGCGCCGGACCCCCAGGCGGAGCGACAGGTCTCGGGCCCCCAGGCAGAGCGGCGGGCGCCGGACCCCCAGGCGGAGCGACAGGTCTCGGGCCCCCAGGGGGCGGCGGGCCCCCAGGCGGGCGACGGGCATCGGGCCCCCAGGCGGGGCGACAGGCATCGGGCCCCCAGGCGGGGGCAGGTCTCGGGCCCCCAGGCAGGGCCCGAGGCGGGCCCAGACTCCGGAGCGACAGGTCTCGGGCCCCCAGGCGGAGCGGCGGGCGCCGGACTCCCAGGCGGAGCGACAGGTCTCGGGCCCCAGGTGGGGCGGCGGGCCCCCAGGCGGGGCGACGGGCATCGGGCCCCCAGGTGGGGCGACAGGCATCGGGCCCCCAGGCGGGGCGACAGGCATCGGGCCCCCAGGCGGAGCGACAGGTCTCGGGCCCCCAGGCAGAGCGGCGGGCGCCGGACCAGGCGGAGCGACAGGTCTCGGGCCCCCAGGCGGAGCGGCGGGCGCCGGACCCCCAGGCGGGCGACAGGTCTCGGGCCCCCAGGCGGGGCGGCGGGCGCCGGACCCCCAGGCGGAGCGACAGGTCTCGGGCCCCCAGGCGGAGCGGCGGGCGCCGGACCCCCAGGCGGAGCGACAGGTCTCGGGACCCCAGGTGGAGCGGCGGGCGCCCCCCAGGCGGAGCGACAGGACACCGGGTCACCAGGCACGACAGTGGGCTTTGAGTCAACTGGCATGACCGCTGGCACTGGGTCAGACAATGGATCGTCTGGCTGGACAGCGGGCATCGGGTCACCAGGCATCAGGTCATTTGGCTCGACAGCGGGCACCGCGTCATCTGGCAAGGCAGTGGGCTCCGAGTCAACTGGCATGACCGCGGGCACTGCGTCAGACATTGGATCGTCTGGCTGGACAGCGGGCATCGGGTCACCAGGCATCAGGTCATTTGGCTCAACAGCGGGCACCGCGTCATCTGGCAAGACAGTGGGCACCAAGTCACCAGCACGGCACGACAGTGGACTCCGGGACATCAATTGGCACCACGACAGCGGGCACCGGGACATCAGGTACCGGATTGTCTGGCTCGACAGCGGGCATCGGGTCACCAGGTATGACAGCGGGCACTGGGTCACCAGGCATCAGGTCATTTGACTTGCCAGCGGACACCGCGTCATCTGGCAAGGCAGTGGGGCGCCGGGTCACCAGGCATTGGATCGTCTGGCTCGACAGCGGGCATCGGGTCACCAGGTGTGACAGCGGGCACTGGGTCACCAGGCATCAGGTCATTTGGCTCGCCAGCGGGCACCGCGTCATCTGGCAAGGCATTGGGCACCGAGTCACCAGGCACGACAGCGGGCTCTGAGTCAACTGGCACGACAGCGGGCACCGGATCGTCTGGATCAACAGCGGGCATCGAGTCAACTGGCCTAATAGGATCGTCAGGCTGGATCAGTTCATCATGCTGGGTAGAGGCATCAGGCTGAATGGAGGCATCCGGCTGAGTAGAGGCATCAGGCTAAGTAGAGGCATCAGGCTGAGTAGAGGCATCAGGCTGAATAGAGGCATCAGGCTGAATAGAGGCATCAGGCTGAATAGAGGCATCAGGCTGAATAGAGGCATCAGGCTGAGTACAGGCATCAGGCTGAGTACAGGCATCAGGCTGGGTACAGGCATCAGGCTGAGTAGAGGCTTCAGGCTGAGTAGAGGCTTCAGGCTGAACCACGGAAGGCAGGTTCTCAGACGGCAGGCTCACGGGTTTGGATACTGGCAGGATGGTATTGGTTGGAAAGAATTTTCGCTTTTTTCTGGTTTTAACTACTGGAGCACTGCAAGTAAACGCAGGTCTGCAAACGAATGGAGCAGCTGGAGACAGAGAAGAGCTGGAGGATGGAACAGAGGAGGGAACAGTTGCTACAGAGGGCTTTCTTACAGGGTTAAAGGCAGGATAGGTGCAGCGAGTGGGAACAGGGTACTGACATGCGGTAGATAGCAGGGCAGGAGGAGCTGTTGGGAATGCAGGAATAGAGCTTTGAGGAAATAGATTCGAAGCAGGACTGGGTTTTTTTGTAAGCTGACTGAGGCTGGGTGCAACAAATCTGTCCATGTCTGCAGTATGGGTTGAACAAAGCTGAGCTTACACAAAGCCTGTCTGACCAAAGACTGCACTGCGTTTATACAATCTCTTAGTATCTGTGGTGAACACGCAGCATAATGCTCCAAGAAGCAATCCACATCATCCTCTAATAACCATACCAGGGACTCTACCTGGTCGGCACTAAATGGCGGCAAAAATTCATCCCTGCATTCGGGGGTACCAGATGAAACCAACTCCGCACAAATCTGAATCAATGGCTGCACCTCAGAGAATTCTGTGCCCTGATCTACTAGAACATGAGCGAGCCGTATACATTCTAGCAGTTCATCCCGGGGATACTCCTTCAGAGTTTGATAAGCATACTCTCTGTCATCAAACACTAGCAGATATAAATACACAACCTCATCAAGATCCATCTTTCCCAGCAACAAGCCAAGATGGCTTCCCTGTGCAGCCACTTCTGGTCAGGATGGGCCTTGGTGTAATGTCAAGGCTCCCGGGTATGACCAGAGGTGTGTGACTGACGCAGGGAAACGCAGACTTCAGATATGTTATAAACAATGTAATTTATTAACACTAACAATACAAACATAAACGCAGTGCAATACTAAAACATAGCACAGTGCAAACGAACCAAACCACCCACAGATAACAGTACATACAATGGAAGCGTCGTCATCAGGCAGGCCGGGTCAATATCAATCGGGCAGGTAGGTACAGGGGGAGCAAGCGGAGAATGGTCGGGGTCACAAGCCAGGTTCAGCAGTAGGTAGCGGGCAGAGTGGTACAGAGGGTCAGGCAGAGGGATGGTCAGGAACGAGCCGGGGTCAGAGCAGGAGAAGTCAGCAGAGGTCAGATCAGGCAGGGTCAGCGACAAGACAGGAACAGGAACAGGATGCAGGAACAGGATACAGGGCCCAGGAAAAACACACACCAAGGCAGAGTCTGCAGGTCTGGCCATCCCTTAAATACACCAGTGTAAGCAGTTTCAGGTGTTTAGCTGGCTGCAAGGTTGAGTCTCTGATTGCTGGGAGCACTCGCTGGCCAGCCCCGGTACTGCAGCCCATAAGGCAGGCGAGTCCCACCATTGCTGGCCAGTCCATTCCTGACAATAACTTTATATCTCATTTAAATCGGCTTTAAAGTAGAATACCAGCACCTAACCAGTCTTAAAAATGTTTCCTCCCCTTCCTAACACCTATGCTGACTAACCTGTGTAGAAAGTATGTATATACTTATCTATTTTCAGTCCACTCTGACCTGATTATATGTGCAGGCTCCCTTGTCTTAGCCAGTGGTGGTTTCAGGGGAGAACAGAGAACATCAACAATGGCCTTTGGGTAATGTCACTACTTCCATGTATTACCATCCATTGTCAAGCACTCTCCTCTCCCCTGCTAACCAATGCTGGCTGACACAGGCAATCACATGACTGAACTAGAGCAGGCAGAAAATACTGTAGGTAAATAGAGACATATTTTTTATTCAGGTTAGTCAGCATAATAGGAGAGGGGCGGGGGCATTTTTATGACTAGTTAAGTTGAGGTTCAAATTCTACTTTAAAGCTGAATTCCAGGGATTCAGTAACTTTGTAAAAAGTGAAGGCACTCTGTGAGTTAAGTCTGACGAGGTGCCTTATCTCTACTGTATTATTTACAGTATTTCTGCCATGTTTACTGTGCTCCAGCAGCATAGCTTCTGAAGCTCCTACGCTGGGCTCAGCCTCTCTTCAAGTGTAGAGTCGGTACAGCTACTATGCCTGCCTCTCTCCTCTTCCTGCCCTATCACAGAAGCCTTTGCATTGTTGGAACTCATGATGTGGCAGGCAGCTATTAGGACTTAACTTAGGTGTGATACTAAACAAATAGCATGGGAAACTAAGCACTGTTGTGGAGGACCCTATGTTAATGGAAAAAAAGAAATCGTACAGCGGGGGGGAGGGTTATGTTCAAGGTTTATGCCTGCCTCCTCTCTCCCTGCCCCTATCACAAGAAGCCTTTGGCATTGTTGGAACTCATGTTTGTGGCAGGCAGCTATTTTTAACTTAGGTGTTTTACTAAACAAATAGCAGGGGGAAACTAAGCACTGTTGTGGAGGGCTGTTAATGGAAAAAAGAAAATCGGTACAGCGGGGGGAGGGTTATGTTATTGCTTAAAGCTGCACAGCAAGGTTCCATAAAAGACTCAATGATAGTACACTTACGCAGCATATTTTATTGTGAAATTATATTTTTTAATTGTACATTAAAGGCAGGGGACCAGAGTCTTAGATGGATGGGTTATGCTGTTACCTTCAGGTGAATTGACAATGGGACTGGGGTATAACCTCTACCACGCACTGCAAGTTTAATTTTTTTACTAGTGTCCTTAGGTCTGCAGACTTCTTTTCTCTCTGCTCTGTTAAAATGCAGCCTCCACACTCCTGAAAGCTAGATAATCAACTTTTCACAAAATTTGCCACCACACCTGGAAGACCCAATTTGCCTGGTGTAAGGCTAAGAAATTCAACCCCAGGAAGTTATCTGTGGATGAATCTGGTCTTTCCTCCAGTCTGGTCTAGATCAGTGTTTGGCTTTAAATACCATCAACAGTCAAGTTTCATCCCTAGCCAGTCTCTTCCACAGACAACTTGCCTTTTACTCACTGGTGAGAGCTTTTGTTCTGGGTGTTGCTCACATAGTTTCCTTTATGTGTTCTCCAGTATCTCTGTGAGATCTCAGCTTGATTTTATTGGTTCTTCAGAAACTTCAGTTCAAACTCTGCTGTCTTTTCTCACTCACAAGTTTACCTTTGTTGCATCTGTTATCTCTGATAGACGTGTTTCGGAGCTAGTGGCCATATCCTGTAACTAGCTGTTTTTAGTATTACACAGGGATACGATTATCTTGTGGCATAAGGCCTCCTTTCTTCTTATGGTGGCTTCCTCATTTCACTCTAACCAGATCATTGTGCTTCCCTCCTTTTGTCTTATTGCTAACAAGTAGATTTCCCTCCACTGCCTCAATGAAGTACTGAGTGAGTTTACCTCTTTTCTATGGCTTTTTTTAGATAATCAAATGAATCTTTTATCATTCCTGAGGGTCCCCACAAGGTAAATCCTGTATCTCACTCCACTATCGCCAGGTGGATTAGACAAATCATCAACCTAACCTACAGTCCGAAGGACAAGATACCTCCCTTTCCTGTTAGGGAACACTAAACTAGATCTCTCAATGCTTCATGGGCTTTTCAGAATCGTCTGAAGTCTGTTTGTCACATTTGTATATTTGCCCCTGGTCTTCTGTTCACACCTAGTTACATAGTTTATAAGGTTGAAAACAGACACAGGTCCATCCAGTTCAACCAATGTGCGCATGTGGGTGTGATTTTTATTCACATAGTATTTTCTCCTTCCTGGGGATGAGATCTAAAAGTTTTTTTAGTTTTTTTGAAGTCCTTGACATGATCAGCTTGTATCATAGGTGAGGGAGATCAACATTTAACTGCTCTAACAGTAAAAATCATGTCCCCAGTCTAAAATTAACCTCCTTACTTCTAACTTGAAATTGTGGTCACCTTTGATATATTTTTATATTGTGATCATATGCCCTTTTAAGTGCCTCTTCTCCAGAGTCCAGAGCCTTCTCCAACATCATTCCTGAGTATTGGTGACCAAAACTGAATTGCATATTCAAGTTGAGGCTGAACCAGTGTTTTGTAAAGGAATAGAATTATTGTTGTATCTCTTGAATGCGTTCCGCCCACCTCTGGCACTGCCCTGTGCTTGAGGCTCACTACTGTCACTTGCATGCACAGAAGCTCGGCTCCTGTGTGTTCACGTGACAGAGCTATTCTCCCAGCACCGGCTGCGGCTTCACAGAACACATGCTGCCCTTACTTCTCCTTCATCTCCCTCCAGCGCTCTAGCTAAATACTTTCAGTGCTTGCTGCAGAAGGATTGGGGGGTTGGAGGCAGAGCATCTGGAAGATTTCTCACCACTTAGCCCCGGAGATATTGCCAGGAGGGATGTAACCTCCAGTATTTCATTCCCGGATATGTATGCGGAGGAAAGTTTGCGGGATGTTGTGGGGATGTTAAGCGAGTGAAAAAGCGTTAAGGTGTCAGGTAGGCAGGCTGTTAAGGTGGCTGGGAGGCAAAGTGTTATTGTGGCAAGGGGTTAGGATGACAGAGAGGCACAAAAGGGGGGAAAGTGCACAAGGAGGGTGGCAGGCACTGATGCTGTGTATTTACAGCTAACATCAGATGCTGCCTCTACGCATGCCACTGGCCAGTGGCCTCTGCAGTGAAGGAGCATAGAATTAGGGCTTGTTCACACCATGTACCTTCATATTCTAGATTGTAAGCTTGAAAGAGCAGGGCCCTCGATCCCCTCATGTTTTGCATTGTATTGGTATTGTTCTGTCACATGTTCTGTCCCCCTTTGTAATGTACAGCGCTGAGCGAACTATTGGCGCTTTATAAATACTGTATAATAATAATAATAATATTGTCTGAACTTCTCTTCCTACATAAACTACCCCTTGTCATACACTCCGCACTCATT